AAAAAAAGAAAACCAAACATCACATGTTCTCACTTATAAGTGGGAGCTGAACAATGAGAACATATGACACAGGGAAGGGAACAACACACACTGGAGCCTGTCGGAGGCCAGAGGGGAGGGGGAGCATCAGGATAAACAGTTAATGGATCCAGGGCTTAACCCCTAGGTGATGGGTTGATAGGTGTAGCAAACCACCATGGCACACCTATGTAACAAACCTGCACGTCCTGCACATGTATCTCATAACTTAAAATTAAATTTTAAAAAATTTTGGGCTGGGGAGGATAGCCTCGAACTTCTGGCCTTGAAGTCCTGGACTCAAGCAATCCTCCCACCTCAGCCTCCTAAGTAGCTGAGACTACAGGCACTCACTGCCATGCATGGCTTCAACTCTGTTATTCTAACGTCTGTCTCTCTGCTCCCAGGCAGTGTTCACGGACCTGGAGATTCTCGCTGCCCTTTTCGCGGCTGCCATCCACGATGTGGATCACCCTGGGGTCTCCAACCAGTTCCTCATCAACACCAGTGAGTGGCCCTCACAGGGGGCGGGGCTTGCTGCGTTGGAGGCGGGGCTTGCTGAGTTGGAGGCGGGGCTGGCTGGGCTGGAGGCAATGCTGGCCAGGCTGGGGAATAGCTGGCTGGGCTGTAGGCGGGGCTGGTCGAGCTGGGGAGGGGTTAGCTAGCTGCGGGTGGAGCGGGCCCTCCTGCGGTTGGGGCTGCACACGTGGGCCCTCCCCTGACCTCTGGGCCGGGCTGCAGATTCGGAGCTGGCACTCATGTACAACGATGAGTCGGTGCTCGAGAATCACCACCTGGCCGTGGGTTTCAAGCTGCTGCAGGAGGACAACTGCGACATCTTCCAGAACCTCAGCAAGCGCCAGCGGCAGAGCCTACGCAAGATGGTCATCGACATGGTGGGCGGGGCTGGGGCGGGTCGGAGCGGGAAAAGAAGCCTTGGAGTTGAGGGCTTTGGGGAGGAATGGGTCCGAGTCCCAGAGGAACCCTCAACCTGGACAGAGCGGGAGGCTTCTACCTGGTGACAACTTCAGAGGCCTGGGTCAGTCTGGGGGCGGGCGTCAGCGGCCCCAGTGACGCCACCTTGCCCTGCAGGTGCTGGCCACGGACATGTCCAAGCACATGACCCTCCTGGCTGACCTGAAGACCATGGTGGAGACCAAGAAAGTGACCAGCTCGGGGGTCCTCCTGCTGGATAACTATTCTGACCGCATCCAGGTGCCCCCATGCCCCATCATCTAAGGAGGCAGGACACTCCCTCCGCCACACCGTTAGGTCTGGGTAGCTAGCTGCCCCTTCCTCGGCCTCTTTCTTCAATGGGGCCCATCTTCCCATCTCTTTCTTTTTATAAAATTTCTTTTTATTTACTTTGTACGATTAAAGGGGAGCTGGGGTCTCTGTCACCCAGGCTGGTCTGAAATTCCTGAGCTGAAGTGATCCCCTCGTCTTGGCCTTGCAAAGTGCTGGGATAGCTGGCATGAGCCACTGAATCTGACCTCTTTCTTTCTGTCTGTCTGTCCCCTCCTCATCTTCGCTTTCCCATCCCATCTCTTCTTCCCATCTCCCCCACCATTCTCTCCCATTTCCCCCAATTCCTCCTTTCTTCTCATCAACCCCTTCCAGGTCCCCTGTCCCTCTCCTTCACCATCTTCTCTTCCCTCACCCCCCTCTTGTCACCCCCCCATATTTTCTCCATCTCCCGCACACCTCTCCCTGCTACCTCCTCTATTCTCTCTTGTCCCCACCTCCTCTCCCCACTCCCCACACCCTCCCTCCCCAGGTGGGAGCTAAGGAAGCCTGACAGTTAGGTGTGGTGGCTCACACCTATAATCTCAACTACTGAGACTGTGACAGGAGGACTGTTTGAGGCCAGTAGTTTGAGTCCAGCCAGAGCTACATTGCAAGGTCCCATTTCTTTCTTTCTTTCTTTCTTTTTTGAGACCTGGTTTCTCTCTGTCACCCAGGCTGGAGTGGAGGGATCTTGGATCCCTGCAACCTCTGCCTCCTGGGCTCAAGCAATTCTCATGCCTCAGCCTCTGGAGTACCTGGGATTGCAGGCACCCACCACCAGACCTGGCTGATTTTTGTATTTTTAGTAGAGATGGGGTTTTGCTATGTTGGCAAGGCTGATCTTGAACTCCTGACCTCAAGTGATTTACCCACCTCGGCTTCCCAAAGTGCTGGAATTACAGGCTTGAGCCACCATGCCAGGAGGCCCCATTTCTTTTTTTTTTTTTTTTTTCCTCCCGAGACAGAGTCTTGCTCTGTTGCCCAGGCTGGAGTGCAGTGGTGCAATCTCGCCTCACTGCAACCTCTGCCTCCTGAGTTCAAGCAATTCTCCTACCTTAGCCCCTGGAGTAGCTGAGATTACAGGCATGTGCCACCAGGCTGAGCTAATTTTTGTATTTTAAATAGAGATGGGGTTTCACCATGTTAGCCAGGCTGGTCTTGAACTCCTGACCTCATGATCCACCTGCCTTGGCCTTTCATTCAAAGTGCTGGCATTACAGGCATGCACCTCCGCCTAGCCCCATTTCTTTTTTTGAGATGAAGTCTTGCTTTGTCATCCAGGCCCCCATTTCTTAAGAAAGAAAGAATGCCTGAGGTCTTAGCCTGGGACACAGGCACAGGCTCTGAAGGTTCCCCTGTCCACTGACCCCCTGCAGGTCCTCCGGAACATGGTCCACTGTGCAGACCTCAGCAACCCCACCAAGCCACTGGAGCTGTACCGCCAGTGGACAGACCGCATCATGGCCGAGTTCTTCCAGCAGGGTGACCGCGAGCGGGAGCGTGGCATGGAAATCAGCCCCATGTGCGACAAGCACACGGCCTCCGTGGAGAAGTCTCAGGTACAGGCTCAGGGCACTGACAGAGGGACACGGACAGGGCAGGCCTCCCCAGCCCATCTTGGCCTGAAGTTTTAAGGTCCGGGAGCCCCTCCCGTGCCTCTCCACAATGCCAAGTTTTCCTGTTTGTTTTTCTTTCCTTTTTTTAATTTGAGACAGAATTTTACTCTATTGCCCAGGCTGGAGTGCAATGGTGCGGTCTCAGCTCACTGCAACCTCCATCTGCCGGGTTCAAGTGATTCTCCTGCCTCAGCCTTTAAGTAGCTGGAATTACAGGCTCGTGCCACTGTACCTGGCTAATTTTTCCCAGTTGATCTTTAACTCCTGACCTGATGATCCACCCACCTCAGCCTCCCAAAGTGCTGCGATTACGGGCATGAGCCGCCTTGCCCTGCACTTCTCCACTTTACATCCTCCCTGGTAAAACCCAACCATCTGAGTTAGATGACTTGGCTCTTCCAGACCTGGGTTTCTAGGCCTCACCAAATGTTGACATTTGGGTGGATTTTTTTGTTTGTTTGTTTGAGATGGAGTTTTGCTCTTGTTGCCCAGGCTGGAGTGCAATGGTATGATCTTGGCTCACCGCAACCTCTGCCTCCTGAGTTCAAGCGATTCTCCTGGCTCAACCTCCTGAGTAACTGGTATTACAGGCATGTGCCACCATGCCCGGCTAATTTATTTTATTTCTTTCTTTCTTAATTTTTGAGATGGAGTCTCACTCCGTCGCCCAGGCTGGAGTGCAGTGGCAAGATCTGGGCTCACTGCAACCTCTGCCTCCTGGGTTCAAGTGATTCTCCTGCCTCAGCCTCCCACGTATCTGGTACTACAGGCATGTGCCACCATGCCTGGCTAATTTTTTGTATTTTTAATACAGACGGGGTTTCACTGTGTTAACCAGGATGATCTCGATCTCCTAATCTCATGATCCACCCACCTCGTCCTCCCAAAGTGCTGAGATTACAGGCATGAGCCACCGTGCCTAGACTAATTTTGTATTTTTAGTAGAGACGGAGTTTCTCCATGTTGGTCAGGCTGGTCTTGAACTCCCTACCTCAGATGATCCACCCACCTTGGCTTCCAGAAGTGCTGGGATTACAGGCATGAGCCACCAGGCATGGCAGGGTGGATTATTTTTTGTGCTAGGAGCTGCCCTGGGTATTATAGGGTTTTTAGCAGAATCTCTGTTCTCTACCCACTAGATGCCAGAAGCATCACCCCCGCTCATTTGTAAAGACCAAAAATGTCTCCAGACATTGCCTGATGTCCCCTGGGAGCACAGAATCACTCACACACACACAACCATGGAAAACCAATTTTATACTCTTTATAATGTAGTTATTATGTTTATAGGCAACATCACGGCAATAGTTTGTGGATTGAGCTTTTTTTTTTGAGACAGAGTCTTACTCTGTTACAGTGGCCCAATCTCAGCTCACTGCAACCTCCACCTCCTGGGTTCAATCAATTCTGCCTCAGCTTCCTGAATAGCTGGAATTGGATTTAGCTTATTAAAAAATAGGCCAGGCGTGGTGGTTCACACCTGTAATCCCAGCACTTTGGAAGGCTGACGCAGATGGATCACTTGAGGTCAGGAGTTTGAGACCAGCCTGGGTGAACATGGCGAAACCCTGTCTCTCCTAGAAATACAAAAATTAGCTAGGCATGGTGCGGGTGCCTGTAATCTCAGCTACTCTGGAGGCTGAGGCAGGAAAATCACTTGAACCCAGGAGGCTGAGGTTGCAGTGAGCTGAGATCATACCACTGCACTCCAGCCTGGGCAACAGAGCAAGACTCAATGTCAATAAAAAAAGAAAATGGCCGGGCGCTGTGGCTCACGCCTGTAATCCCAGCACTTTGGGAGGCCGAGGCGGGTGGATCACGAGGTCAAGAGATCGAGACCATCCTGGTCAACACGGTGAAACCCTGTCTCTACTAAAACTATA